CTCCGCCGCTTCGGGGGGGGGGGGGGAGCGCTGCCATAGGTCTTCGGGCCGCTGGGAAGTGGCCTCTTCCGCGGCCTGCACCAGCCGCGCCGTGAGCACAGGGTCCGCGGTTACACTGGCCTGGCTGCTTCTCGGTGACCGCAGGGCGAGGTGAGCAGCATTGGCGCCCGTCTGCTATCCCAGCAGGGCTGAGCGACGAGACAGCTCCGACCCCACAGCCCTGCCTTTCAGCAGGGAAACGGCGCAGGAAGTTGACTGCATTGAGGAAATACCTGCCTTTTTAAAAAAAATCAGAATGTTCATGTACCAGAGAGAGAGGGAGGAAACAGCCCACAGGCACGGTGACGCCCAGCTTCCCTGCAGGGCCTCGACGTCTGCAGATAAAGTCTCCATGTAGGGCAGAGGCTTGGTGGCAACCACGGGGCCAGGCTTCTGCGGCTGGGAAGGAAGGTGGTGCCATGGCAGGACTTCCCTGGTGGGCATGAGAACTTCGGGCTCCAGGGGACATAAGGACATTTCTGTGGCCTCCATGGCAGACTCCTGCTCAGCTAGGCCTGCCCAGGCCTGTCTACATGGCTGTCGGGTTGGTCTGGACTCGGGAAGATGGGCCTGGGCAGTAGGCTAGTTCATCAGCCCTGAGGAAGGGCAGTTTCCGGTAGCCAGACTGGCACACCAGGGTGCTCAGCGTTTTTTGTCAGTGGCGTGTGTGCTCACCTGAGAGCCGGCAACAGAGTGCCCTCCCTGGGCCCGGCTCCTGCTGTAACCCTTCCCCTCCATCTCTCCATCCCGTCAGAACTCGGGGCACGCACACCATGAGCACATGTGTTGTTCAAGCTGCCGAGGCTGGGATTTGAACCACAGTTGGCCATGTGACACCTGGCTTTCTATGCAAAGCACGAAACTGTTGTGCTACAGGGCCAGCCCTCCATAGTTTTACTGAGCATTCTTTTTTATTTTTTGAGAGGTTTTTGCTATAGGGCGCGTGCGCTCGCCAGACAGACAGAGACATAGAGACAGAAAGCGAGAAATCACCCCCCAGGGGGTTGGTCACGCCGCAATCCCTTCTCCTCCATTCTCCTCTCAGGATCTTGGGCACACACGCACATGTGCCCAGCATGAGTTTTAAGCCACCAGGTCCAGGACACGAACCACGGTCGACTACATGGGAGTCCAGTGACACAGCCATTACGCTAACTGCTGGTCCCCTTTTACTGAGCATTCTAAAGAACGAACGAAGCTGGGAACCGCTGGCTGGCTCATTGGCATCTAGAACTCCGACATTTCAAGCACGAATCGTCTCTCCATTCTTAACCAGATACGGACATACAACTGCTTGGTAGAAGAAAGTCACGGGACGGGATGAATCCAAGGGCTCTCCTGGTGGCTGGAGAATCAAAGGGTTCTAGAATATAAACCTTTGTTCCCCACAGTTTGCTAGAGGGTGTGTGGGCTCCCTGGGGAGAGAGAGGGAGTGATAAAGCACCCCAGGGAGGAGGTCTCCCTGAGATCTCTTCTCCATTCTCCTGCCAGGATTCTGGGCAAGGATACACGCTCGCCTGGGGTGTTTTTCAGGCTGCTGGGTCTAGGGTTCAGACCGTACCGTTGGCCAGGTGAAATCCAGCTGCCTTACCCACACCACTGGCTGGCCCCAGTTCGGATGTTTTTTTTTTTTTTAAGAATTATTTAATTTTATTAATTATTATTATTATTTTAGTTTGCTACAGGGCATTTCATTTCAGCACACCAGAAGAGAGAGAGAAAGAGAGAGAAAGAGAGAGAGAGAGAGACAGAAAGCAAGTGGCCAGGCCCAGGATTCCATGGCTGTTGGCCATGTGGGAGTCCAGCGCCTTAACCTCACCACTTGCGGCCCCCCCAGTTTACCTTCTTAAACCTACAAGTAAAGTTGTCCTTTATAATGTAATAGAACAAAGTTCCAGGGGGCTGGCAGGTGGCATGGTGGTTGAGCCACTGGACTCCCACGTGGCCAACCAGGGTTCAAGTCCTGAACCTGATGGCTTGGTTTCTCCCCATCCTGGTCAAATTTTAAAACAATAAAAATAAAATAATTTTAAAAAATCAGTTCCAGATTCTATAAAAGTAGATGCTATAAGAGAGAAAACAAGAATGTTCGTGAAAGTGCCTCCAGCATCTTGTCCCAGATTTCTTTTACCTTGTCCCCCGAAGGCCACTGCACCGTGGTCAAGAATGTCGCCAGGTCCTGCTACAGGGTCACGAGGAAGAAAGGCAGAGCCCAGCCGTGACTGCTGTGGACACGTCTCCCAGACATTTTTCCTTTTAACTAAAGGAAAGGGGGCCAGCCCTGAAGCCTTGTGGGTAACGGAGCTGGATCCCACATGGCTGACTGTAGTTTGAATCCCGGACCTGGCAGCTCGAAAAACACACCTGGCAAGTATGTGCGCACACATGTCCCGAATCGCGGCAAGATGGGGAACGAAGAGACTGTGTTCTCACAGGCCTTATTGAGGGGTGCTTTGTCCCTCTCCCCCTCTCTCTGCTGAGCACGCGTGCCCTTTGGCAATTAAAAAACAAAAATTAGGGACCAGCAGATGGCATAATGGTTATGTTGCTGGACTCCCACATGGTTGGCCGCAGTTCAAGTCCTGGACCTGGCAGCTTCAAACATGCCGGGCACATGTGCGTGTGTGCCCAAAATTCCAAGAGGAGAACGGAGGAGGAGTTGCAGCATGGCCATCCCCCTTGGGGGGTGATTTCTCACTTCCTGTTTCTCTGTCTCTCCAGCAAGCATATGCACCCTATAGGAAAAATCTCTAAAAAAAAAAAAGTAAAATAAACAGAAAAAAAGAAAGGTCTCGAATGCAGGAAGCCTTTCCTTCAGAATAGTTTTATTAGTTTGCAAGCTGTGTGCAGCACACAGCTGCGTTCGCTCCACCTTCGACACAACCCCAATCACTCCGAGTCCTCTTCCCCCCATATCTCGTAAATCGTGACACTGTGTGGGGCTGCATTGACTTCGGGGCAGTGAAGCCTGAGGTTGCTGCCCGTCACCATGGCGGACTTCGCGTTCCGCACCTTGGACACGAACTTCACGAGGTCCACCTCGAGCTGGGTCAGGGTGTTGAGCGCGTAGTCTCTGCTGGGGGCAGCAGTCTGCGCTTTCTTGAGCGGGGAGCGCGAGGAGCAGCCGCGAAGGCTGGTCGGACTCTGCTCCTGGCGGGAGAGACTCAGGGTGAGGGCGGCCGTGGACTCGCTGCTCTGGACCTGCTCTGGACGTCCCTGGACAGCGGGGCTCGTCTGAGAGAACAGCGCTAGCTCTGCCCTCGCCCAGGCTCCGGAGCACAGCCCAACCCGGCCGGCCCCCCCCCCCCCGTTTTGGAAGCAAAGATTTTCAGGCCACACCAGGCTCCTCATTTGCATACACCCCAGCTGCATCCAGCTGCACAATGGGACTGAGCAGTTGCAGCAGAGAGCAGACGGCCACCAAGGTGAGAACCCGTGACGGGACAGCATGGCCTCCCCACCCGTGCCGGTGCCAGGAGGTGCTGGCCGGCCTAGGAGAGAATGCAGTCATCTCCCTGTCTCCCTCTACCCGAGAGTCATCCAGCCTCTGTGGGGCCCTCCATCCCTCAGTCAGGCCTCGCGCCCCTCACTCGGGATGGAGACACCCCTATGTGGCTCGGAGGCCGGTAACGGTCCAACACCGGGACACCTCACAACCAGGCAGAAAGATCTGGCCCTGTAAAGTGGACCTGGGACACACCTCAAGTCCTCAAAAGTATTCATTTAACAGAAAAATGATGAGCCGAGAGACCAAAGGTCACCTTCGGCTCTGCCCCAGCCTCTGAGGACCTGGGGACTGAGGACGAGGACACATGCGTTGGGCGGCAGACGCGCCACTGTGCCCAGCATCGTCAGGCGGTGGTCCCACCAGGTCCCTGTGCTCCGCCGAGCGGCCACTGATCACGGTGCCCGGCTCCCCCGTCTGGGCCCTCGGGATCGCCGCGGGGAAGGGGCGCCTCCCTACCTTCCTCTTCTCGCTATCTCCTCGAAACTTCAGAATCACGTACAGCACCACCACGAAAAAGAGCCAGAGCCACTTGCTCCCAAGCCAGCCCTGGGCATGCTCCGGCAGGCTCTGCCTGATCCGGAAGTGCCCTCCGCAGGGCACCTTCCCCGGAGGCTCCTTGGCTTTATCCCTCAGAGAAGAAAACATGAAGGCGTAGCCACAGGAGACGCACAGGGGCAAGAACAAGAACCATGTCAGCGTCCGCATGGTGGCCAGAGGCGGGGGAGGAAGCTGCTCATGGTGGGCTGTTTGTGCTCGCAACTGGGAGACTGGGCATAGTGCTGGCTGTTGGTGATGTCACAGACGGCCCTGGCCATTGTGATGACCTCGGGCGGAGACCTCGGCTCCCAGGGCCTGGACTTAGAGGGAGAGGGGGCGGGAACCAGCAGGCAGGAACAGTGAGGGTGGGTGGGGGATGCCCCCTGGCCATTCCATGCACCTTCCAACCCGGGGGAACAGCCATGGGGCAGGGGATGAGGTCAATAAAGCATTTCACGTTGGCAGGCTCTGAGAGGAAGGCCGACCGGGTGTGCCCGGCCTGCGTGGACGCGCAGTGGGCAGCTCAGTCCTGGGGCGCAGACAGCAGGGCTCCAGGTCGCGCACCAGCTGTGCGACCCGGCTGCGTGACTCTTGTAAATCCCAAGAGCCACTTTGCAACTTCTCCCATCTGTAGCTTTTCTCCTTCCGCTGCCTTCGCTCTGCTCCCTGTCAGTAGAAAGCCCAGGCGCGGCCGCTCTGGAGCTGGCTCGGGCTTCGATCTCTGCACTGAGCAGAGCTTGGCATGGGCCTCCAGCAGCCCTGCCTGCGCCAGCCCCAGGCAAGGCTTTCTTCCAGCGGCCCGCCATCTCTTCCTGCCGCCCACGTCTGGGCGGCCCTGGTGCTGGGTGGTGGACAGACACATGTACCCCGGAGCCCTGGGGAAGGACACCTTAGCCCACAGGCGTGAACGAAGGGTGCCTGCCACACTTGCCGCCTACGTTACTTCTGAAACGGCTACTGGCCAGCACTTAAATGCCGGGAAACCTCCTTCAAGAACTCCAGGTTTCTGGCCTCCTTTGAAAATCCCAAGTCCGGCGGAAACCGGGTGCAGCTCTGCTCTGGCCTCAGGGTGAGGTCGGACTCAGCCAACCTCCCCCAGCCGGGGCCTCGGCCCTCTGAGCTGCAAACCTCTTGCACAGAAAAGCTGCAAGTATGGAAGTTCTGGTGACACGCCCGGGCACTCACCGGCCACTCTTCTGCAGTCACGCAGGACCTGCCCATCCAAGGGGACTCCGGGCACGGGTCCCGCCACTTCCTGCCGCCTCACACCACAACTGCCCTTCCTGAGTGTTCAATCCCCATAATGAGTGCAATTTATTTCATTCAAATTGTGAGGAAGGTAGGTGGTCAAGGGAGCCAGACCCCACATGGCCAACTGCATGGTTCAAGTCCTGAACCCGATGGCTTGAAAACCACACCGGACACATGTGTGTGCAGGCCCCAAATCCTAGGAGAGACAAACGGAAGGGAAGGGACTATAGCATGATCACACCCCTTTGGGTGTGCTTTCTCCCTCCTCCCTCCACCCCACTCCCGAGAGGGCACACCCCCTTTGGCAAATGTTTTAAAAAACTGTAATAATGATTACGTCACTGGACTGACTCCCACATGGTCGACTGCAGTTCGAGTTCTGGACCCGACGGCTTCAAACTCATACTGGGCACATGTGCATACATGCCCAAAATCCCGAGAGGAGAGTGGAGAAGGGATTGCAGCATGGCCAACCCCCGGGGGCTGGTTTCTCAATTTCTGTCTTTCTCCAGTGAGCATATGTGCCCTAAAGCAAAAATCTAACAACAAAAAATAATTGTGACAGAACAGACTAGAATGAGACTGATTCAAATCTGGTTATGTAGGAAGAACTTTCCGGAAAGACATCTGGGTAGCGCTTGAGAGATGATTAGGACTTGGCTGGGTAAGGTGGGACGGGGCTGACTGACATCTAGGTCTGTGTGAAGAGCGCAAGGAAGGACAGAGCTGTTTGGTAACTGAGCCCGATGATAGGAAGAAACCCAGGATTCCCAGTATATTCGAAAAGATCCATTTTCAAAAGGGATCTGAAACAAGAAATCCTGGCTAGTGGCACACAGGCTTGAACTTGCTCCCTGGACCATCTGGGTAGCAGACTTTGCAATGAAGGGTAAGAGTCACAAACCATCAGGTTTCCTGGACACCGTCACTGGGCCGCAAACTGCTGAGCTCTGGGGAGGGATGAAGTTCTGTAAATCCTGCAGAGAGAAGGGAGTGCTGGCTTGTGCTGCAGGCCCTCCTCTGCCTGTGCAGCTATCAGAGGGGTGGGGGCAGGACTTAGAGATGCCAGTCCTCAGGCGTGGCTAGCACTGGCCCTGGCAGCCCCTAGGCGCAGTGGTTAAGCCCTGTGCACAGGGTGCTGGTGGTTCATGGCCAACCCACTAAAATCCTGGCCCTGAGGCTTGAAAAACATGCTGGGCGTGGGTGTGCACACATGCCCAAAATCCTGACAAGGGGAGAAAAGGGACTGTGGCGTGACCACACACTACAGATGGGTGAGGGCGCTTTCTTGTCTCAGCTATACTGCCTGGTGCACACACACACACACACACACACACACACACACACACACACCCCTCTGGCCAAAAAAATAAAAACCAAACTGGCAGTTGCAGAAACACTGATGGCTGCTCCAAGGCCCCTGTTTGAGAACTGGCTGGCCTGACATCCATGGACATGGGCCACCTGTCTCCAACAATGCTTAGAATGTGGTGGCTACAGGTGACAATGCTGTGAGGGGCCAACACTCTCCAGTCACATAAGAGACCCCAAACAACAACAATGCTCTCGCTTTATCACAGGGATTTTCGTTATCTGGAAATGCTCACGCCTATTTCATGATGGGATCACTTACTTTTTTTTAATTATCAAAGTTTCATGATGGGATCACTTACTTTTTTTTAATAACCAAAGGGCTTGTGTACTGGCCAGAGAGGGAGAGAGAAAAAGTACCTTTTCTCTGGGTCAAAGTTTGTGAGGCTAAGAGACAGTGTCCTCGGTTCATTCTGGGGAGACTTGAATTTCCTTTTCCAGGGATAAAGGGCAGTGGTAAGCAGACTTCTCTCAGCCCCTGCACTGCTGGAGACGTGGTGGGGAGGAGGGCCTGGCAGGTCTGTCCTCTGGGGCAGAATCTCCAAGGAAAGTCCTTCTGTTCCCTCCGGGATGGTCCTCTGTGGGGCAAAGGCAGGGGAGGGTGGGCACAGCTGTGCAGGAGGTGCTGGGAGCCAAGGAAGGTCGGGCGCAGAGGGCAGAGAGGTTCCATAGTCTGATTCTGAGCACTCTGTGAGTTACTGGGAGAAACTGGGCACAGTCAAGATTCAATGCAGATTCAGGGAACCAGCAGTTAGTGTAATGGCTATGTCGCTGGACTCCCACGTAGTCGACTGCAGTTTGCGTCCCAGACTCGGTGGCTTAAAACTCACGCCAGGCGTGTGTGCGTGCGTGCGTGCGTGCCCAAGATCCCAGGAGGAGAACAGAGGAGAAGGGATTGCGGCGTGACCATCCCCCCTGGGGGGTGATTTCTCACTTTCTGTCTCTATGTCTCTGTCTGTCTGGCGAGTGCACGCACCCTACAGCGAAAACCTCTCCAAAAAAAAAAAAGAATCAATGCAGATTCAAACCGACTAAGGCTAAAATGAGGAAAACCAACTTTGTAGAAACCATGGTTATTAAAACAACTAAAAATGTTGGGATGAGGAGGTGGCATGGTTGGGATGCTGGACTGCCACATGGCTGACCTCGGTTCAAGTTCTAGACCGGGCAGCTTGCTTTCTCACTTTCTCGCTCTTTCTTTGGTGAGTGTATGTATCAGATTAAAAAATAATAATGATAAATAGGGGCCAGCAGTTGGTGTAATGGCTATGCCGCTGGACTCCCATGTAGCTGACCATGGTTCAAGTCTCAGACCTGGTGGCTTAAACTCACACTAGGCACATGTGCATGCGTGCCCAAGATCCCTTGGGGAGAAGGGATTGCGGTGTGGCCATTTCTCCAGGGAATGAAGAGATGGAAATAAAAGAATGGACAAAATGGGTTGACCTAGTTTTCTTTGCAAAGTTAAGATAAAGAGCAACAGACTGATAAATTTTAAGCAAATAAAAAGAAACTCACTGGGACCAGCAGTTAGCGTAATGGCTATGTCGCTGGATTCCCACGTAGTCGACCACAGTTCGAGTCCCGGACCTGGCGGCTTAAACTCACACCGGGCGCGTGTGTGTGCGTGCCCAAGATCCTGAGAGGAGAACGGAGGAGAAGGGATTGCGGTGTGGCCATCCCCCCTGGGGGGTGATTTCTTGCCTTCTGTCTCTGTCTCTCTCTTTCTGGTGAGCGCACGCACCCTATAGCAAAAACCTATCCAAAAAAAAGAAAACAAACGCACTGCTATAATCACAATTTAGCAAAATACAAAGGGGAAAATCCAACTAGGAGAGTTAACTGGGCCGTGAAGAACCACCGACCAGGGAAACACACGGCACGGGCTAATTCTGATTGGGTCTGCAAAGGTCCACGACAGAGCCACCAGTAAACAGAACTGACTGAAGTGCTTCAACGATGCCGACAGGTCCTCAGAGCCAAACGTGCCACCGCCTCAAAGCAGAGAATGGGGGGGCGGGGGGGCCAGCAGCCTTGGGCACTGCCCCTCCTGGCTTCTCCCTTGAAGTCTTCCCCACCTCGTCCAACACAGACCTTGCCTGCTCACACCCTGAGCTTCCTCTTGGCTCCTGTTCAGGCTTTCAAGGGTACACAGGGCACTAGACCTGGCACATCGGCCCGGCTGTACCGCCACGTATGGAGAATGGGGGCAGGCCAGAGTCGGAGCTTCACGGCCGTTCATGGAAGTTTCCAGTGACTGACCTGGGCACACGTAAATGGATAAACCCAGCTATCTCACGTGCAATCCCCCTCTCCTCCCACTGAGGGAAGAGTGGAGCCCCACGACTCCATGGGGTCCTTCCTGCTCCTCAGTGCGGTGGCTGATAGGCCCCTCCAGAACCCCAGTGGGAGGTGGCGGAGAAGAGCAGATGGATGGTGGGGCAGGGGCAGGGGCAGACCTGCTTTACTTCTGCACCGAATTGCTGGCTGCCCGACGAAGGCTCGGACACCTCCTGAACAGGTAAGGCAGACTCCCCTACATGCCAGACCAGCCAGGCTCCCAGCTCCTCCTGGGCCAGAGCAGAGGGGTGGTGGCAGAGTGCACTGGAAACCCATCCTACTCAGCTCAGCTGCACCTGGCCTACTCGGTAAACCATGAGAACTTCAGTCCAAACGAGCTGACAGGCCCAAGAGCAGTCCCCTACCAACTCCAAGAGCCACACACCTGCTGGGAAATCCAGTGTACCCGCGAGGGGGCCAGCACACTCCAGCAGATGGGGAAGGTGGACGCCACTCACAAGCCACCCCCACGTCCTCACAGCAAGAGTGACTACGCCAGCAAGAGGGTTGGTGAGGGCAACTTTATGACACTTCACACGGAGCTACACCAGGGAACCCGTGGGTGATGGAGGTGCACCCAATCACCCACATGGGAGGGCAGGGGCAGCAGGTGCGGCCTCAGAAGCAGTAGGATGTATGGGTGACCCAGTGGGCCGACTCCTCCTTGGAGCGCTTGGCAGAGCTGTGCGTCGTGAAGAGCGACTTGTAGGCCTCAGACTCCTCACTGTCAGCGATGGTCCGCTTCATGGCTCCACATGGAGGTTTCTCGGCTTTTCCGGAAGAGCTCCCACTGGTGGCTGGGAAAAGGAAAAGCCAAAGCCATTAAAGTTGAGACTAAAGATCATTCCAAATCGTACATTTTCTTTTCTTTCTTTTTTTTTTTTGAGAGGTTTTTGCTATAGGGCACGTACACTTGCCAGACAGATAGAGAGACAGAAAGCGAGAAATCACCCCCCGGGGATGGCCATGCTGCAATCCCGAAAGACAGAGAGAGAGAGACAGAAAGCGAGAAGTCACCCCCGCTCCCGGGGGATGGCCACACTGCAATGCCTTCTCCTCCATTCTCCTTTAAGGATCTTGGGCACGCACACACACATGCCCGGCATGAGTTTAAGCCACTGGGTCTGGGACTCAAACCATGGTTGATGACATGGGAGTCCAGCGACGTAGCCATTATGTCAACGGCTGGTCCCCCAAATCGTACATTTTCTAAAGGGCAACAAAGTCGCTCTATCCCAGGCACGAGCCCCCGTTTTCTGTGATGAATGTTAACTGCCACGACCTCCAAACCAGACAGAGCTCCAGCCTTTCGCTCGGCCATCTACGGACTACTGCGCTGTGCCAGGACAAGCTTGTGTTTCCTCCTCGCTCAGGGCAGAACCTTCAGGCTCCAGCTTTCCAAGTGGCTTCCTCGCAGCAGAAACCCACCTGCATTTTTGGGGGCCAAGCTGGTTTTCTTTTCTCTAGAATCAAGGCCAGTATCTTCAGCTTTCCCTGTCTTCACTTTTGATGGCCCTGCGGATTCTGTAAAAGAGACAAAGTAGGCAAAATCAAACCAAAGCAAAGACACGAATCTACAGGAACTAGCCCGATGGGCCCATCCTGCTAAAATGAGGACCCCTTCAGCTCCTACCTTCGACCTCTGCCTTTGAAACCGACTCTGCAGCCTTGGGTTTCTTTGTTTTCTGGAAAAGAAAGAGGACATTTTTCTTTTAATGAAATTACAGGCTGCTTTCTTTGAGTTACAGATAGTGAGTTCGGGGACGAGCAGGCAGTGCAGTGGTTAAGGCTCTGGACACTCCCATGTGGTCAACCACGATTCATGCCTCAGAACTGGTGGCTTGCTTTCTCACTTTCTTTCTCTCTCTCTTTCTCTGGTCAAATTAAAGTAAACGAATAAATAAAATTAAATAATTCTTAAAAAAAAAAAAAAAAGAAAGAAAGTGAGTTCCAGGGGCTGCCCCGTAGCCTACTGTTAAGGGAATCGGATCCCACAGGGCCAACTGCGCACAGGAGGAGGCCCTCATCCTCATGCTGGGCTAGCTTTCTTTTTATCTCAGTCTATGAAGAAGACTTTCGCTAATCCATTCATTCTAAACCTAAGCCTCTGCGTGTTTCCAGTTATGCCATTTCGCCCCACAAGGGACTGTATCTGTACAGATCTAGCTTAACCTTAAATTTATATGATAAATTACAGTCTCAAAGATTTAAATGAAGATAACAGATCTCAGTGGTAACAGCTAAGCTCACAGTGACTACATACACAGAAGGTAATAACAAGAGCTACGTGGGTGTGTGAAATCCAGGCACACACACGTACTAAATCTAACCCATAACCTTTTCACCATTATTGAATGGCTTTGATATTAATTTACTTAGCTATAAAGTCTTGAAGCTTATCCTAAAGAACATTCTAGCTAATTCTGCTAAACTCTGGATTACTCTTGTTGAGATTTTTTAGGCATTAGAGCTTTGTTACTCGTAACAGTTATTTTGGTCAGCAAGAATCAAAGATAATACGAACTAAGCATTGTAAAACCACACAGCTCAGACAGAATCGATTCCATCGCAAAATGACAGACCGTCCAATTAACTTTAACAAGGTCATTTTCCTAATTATCTGAAAGATGGCGTCGACGATACATTAGCCTAGTTATTTCAGAAGGTCCCTAGCCCTAAAAACACTGAAGGCAGACCTTTCTCAGGCACTGGCCTCAAACTTGTAGCATACACATGCAATGTGCTTCATAGCACTCACAAAGCAATCAGATCTTCTGTCTGCAGACTCAAATCTGTGAGGGCTGACCTTTGGTTCTTACGAAAAATGGGGATGACCATTATGTCCAAGCCCTCGGGTCACAGCTGAGGGCGGCAGAGGAGCAGGAGCAGGAGGGAGGGACTGCCACGCCCCGTCCCAGCCGTGGGGGTACTGGGGAATGTTCTGGTGCCCTGGCAGCAGGATCTAAGAGGCACTCCCAGAACTCTTAGATACCAGGAGTGGGTACTCGATAGAAAGGGGACTGTTGGCTCCACTGGGCTTTGAACGACTTGGCAAGAAGACATGGTGAACAAAACTCACCACGGCAAAATGGTTAAGGACCGGGAATCTCCAGTCCGTAGCTCCCCTTAGAGTGTAAGTTTTCCCCCGCGTGTTCTTTTTCTTTTCGAGGGAGATTTTTGCTATGTGGCGCATGTGCTCAATGGAGACAGAAAGCGAGAAATCAGCCCCCGGGGGATGGCCCCGCAGTGATCCCTTCTTCTCCTTTCTCTTCTCGGGATTTTGGGCATGCACGCACACACAGCCAGTATGAGTTTAAACTACCAGGTCTGGGACTTAAACCGCGGTCAACTACGTGGGAGTCCAACGACGTAACCATTATGCCATCTGCTGGTCCCCGACTCATGCTTTTTTAAAAACTAACTTGATCAACTGTGCCGATGAAGACTAGCAGATCCCTTTGGAAACTGTCTTTTATCAAAAATATCTCAAGCTTGGGAACCAGCAGTTAGCGTAATGGCTATGTCGCTGGACTCCCACGTAGTCGACCGCAGTTCGCGTCCCGGACCCGGTGGCTTAAAACTCACGCTGGGCGTATGTGCGTGCGTGCCCAAGATCCCGAGAGGAGAATGGAGGAGAAGGGATTGTGGCGTAACCATCCCCCCTGGGGGGTGATTTCTCGCTTTCTGTCTCTTATGTCTCTGTCTGTCTGGCGAGTGCACGCACCCTATAGCAAAAAACAAAACAAAACAAAACAACTCTCAAAAATATCTCAAGCTTTTTTCCTTCTCTTTTTTGCCTCATACTAAAGAAATCATAATAATTTGAAAAACCAACTCAGAGTTTACACACACACACACTGTAACTCTCTCTCTCAAGTGCAGAACTTCAAAGGCTTTTAAAATATTCCTCATGAATGTCAGGTTACTATCTTACAAAACTGTCCCACAGACTCTACTGGCACAATTCTACTACAGAATCATTCACATCCTTCTTCTCTGTAAGTGAAGAGACAAGAGGAGGAAATACAAATGGATTCGATCCTTTCTGATAATGAATCCATGCATAATTGCATAACTGTCATACTGCCACATGTGCTTAACATTGGCTTTTTTTTTTTTTAAAGAGATTTTTGCTATAGGACACGGGCACCCATTGGAGAGACAGAAAGTGAGAAATCACTTCCAGGGGAAATGGCCATGCTGCAACCCCTTCTCCTCCATTCTCCCCTCAGGATCTGGGGCATGAATGCACACGCATCTGGCCTAAGTTTTAAGCCACTGGATCTGGGACTTGAACCATGGTCGAGGTACATGGGAGTCCAGCGACGTAACCACTGTGCCCACTGCTGATCCCAAACGCTGGCTTTTCAAGCCTCACCACTGATTTCCAAGGTGATATGCTCCCATCCTTTCTTCCGTTATGATAAAAAAAAATTCCAAACCTCTGAAAAATCTTTTCTCCGTAATGCATTCTTTGTTGGGGGATGGCTGCCCTCACAGCCTAGTGATTAAGGGATCTGGAGCCTAACATGGCTGACCAGGGTTCAAATCCTGACCCCAGCAGCCTTAATAACATGCCCCAAGCCCAACAGGATGCAGAGCTGGAGGGGAATTGCAGTGTGACCACGCCCCACAGGGGTGCTTTTCCCTCTGTCCGTCATGGGTGAGCACATGCCCCTAAGAGGTTGCAGCAATGCAGTGGGGGTCTGCCATGGCTCCAGAGCAGGGGAGGAGGCCGGGCAGGCTCCAACTCTGCCTTCACCCACGATGCTCGGGAGGCGAGGGCAGCCCCAGTGGCCCCGCCCCATTACCCTCTCCAGCTTCGCTTTCAGCCTTCTCTCTTCCATCCTCTTCTTCAGCCCCTCCACGTCCTCCTTGGAGCCATTGAGCACGATGACGTCATCCTCCTGGAAGGCAGCCCCACACTGGAGAGGGGAGAGAGAAGATGGGTCTGTCAGCAAGCCAAGTAGGGGAGCACCAGGCCCCGCATCCCAGCTCCACCCTCCACCTGCCTCCCAGCTGGGCTAGCTTTCCAGCCCGTGCCTGGTGGGGAGGTCCCTGTGCACAGGAAGGCATGGGCCCGGCAGGTTTGAGCGCGCTGTCCCTGAAGGGCCTGCCCGGTGTGTGGAACTCAGATTCTGGAGGGACTCTCACCATTTCGTAGGCAAAGAGAGTAGCTTACGCACTGCCCAGACAGTTCTCAAACAACGATGCTGCTCGTGCTAAACACCTGCTTTCCTGCTACGAGCCCAGCACGTGCCTGGCAGAAGGAAAGGAACCAGCCCCTACAGGAGCCTGGAACGAGTCTCCCCTGGCCACCCTGGACAGAGCGCACACATACACAGGCTGCCACACTCTCCCTGCTCTGCCTAACCCTCAGGGAGGGCGAGGCTACAGACACCTCACCTGGATCCATCCAGACTCTGCTGCCTCTAGCTTTTCCCTTCCCACCAGGCTGCATGGCTGCAACAGGCCTTAGCTGAGCAAACCACCATCATATATGGCGATCCTCGGAGTCCTTCTAGAAGACTGCCAAGCTTGAGAGTGTCCTGGGCACCCCGACACACCCTGGCAGAACAGGCTGGGAGCAGTCGAGCCCCCCCCGACAGTCTCGTGATGGCATACACCCCATGCACACAGTGTGTCCCTGCCCTCGATGTGTCAGTGAGTGAGTCACCTCTTTCAGGAGGGCCTCTGTGCCCATGCTGCAAATACTGCCACCTCCCTGGCCTTGCAAGGTCCTAGTGCCCTCTTCAACCCAACCTGAGTCCTTGACCTCAGCACCCACCCAATACCAGGCAAGCAGCAGGTGCCCTACAGACCAGGGTTGGACACAGCAGGCAGAGGAATGGTATGAGGGGAGGTGGAGGGCCCTTGCTGACACTGTGAACGGAGTTTCCCACTCTATCCCACTGGGCCCCCACGTCCTCGGCTATGGGAAAGGGGCTGTCTAATAGGGTAGTGCTCCTCACTGGGGTGCTTCTGCTTTAAGAAGACCTCACAAAGTTTGTGGGGAAATGGAATTAAGTTCACAATATGCATCTTCTGTGAACTTTTTGAAGACCTTGCATATGTACATCAAAACATCACGCTGTACACTTTAAATGCATATAATTCTTAAAAATGTGAACTCTCATTTTGAAGGCATCTGGTTTTTACTATCAATTGAGGAGGTGCACACTAAGGTGACTCTCACTGTCCCCAAACTCGTGAAAACAGAGTAACTGGTACAGTAAGGACATTAGAGCACAATCTCACTCTTCCACTACTTGCTAAGATAACGACTTGCTGCAATGGCAACGGAGGGGTCAGGCAGGGACACTGGTGACGGTCCCCGCTGCTGCCACGTCAGTGGAAAAGGTCTGGTGCACAAAAACGCTTGCGAGGTCTATCTCACTGATCTCGCTCTGCAAGAGCTGGGGGAGAACAGGTCTCTGGCCTCCGTGAGGTGGGTGGAGAATCCCAGATGTGAGAACTGGGAGGGCAGGGAGCTTACCACTGCCCCGTGATACTCTGTGGCTTTCTAACTTGTGGAAAACAAGCCAGGTCTTAAGTACAACGCTTAGGGCAAATGCCTGTGCAGGTCTGGCCAGGATTTACAATGATCATCTAACACGTCCTTAACCAAAACAGAAAAATAAGATGTATTACCGAGGGCCAGCTGGTGGTACGGTGGTTAGTGAGGCCGAATCCCACACGGGTGACTGTGAGGTTCAGGGCCTGGACCCATGGCTTGAAAAATATGCTGAACATCTGAGCTGCCTCTACCTCCTGTCACGACTGATGCTGCACGTACATGGAAAAGGCCTTGTATGGACTTAGGTTCCCAACTCCTTCGGGTAGATACCTAGGGGCAGAACTACTGGGTCACACGTTGGCTTTATGTTTAATCTTTGGAGGAAATGCCATTCTTCAAAATACAGGTTTCAAAACGGCTACACCATTTTACATTCCTGCCAGGCATGTTTGAGGATTCTAATTTCCCCACATCATTCCCAACATACTTGGCCTTTTTTTTTTAAAGAGAGATTATTTTGCTATAGGGCATGTGTGCTCCCTGGAGAGACAGACAGAAAGATAGAAACCAAGAAATCACTCCCACCCCCTCCTGGGGGGATGGCCACACTACAATCCCTTCTCCTCCATCCTCTTCTTGGGATTTTGGGCATGCACACATGTGCACCTGATGTGAGCTTTAAGCCGCAGGGTCCGGGACTCGAATCACGGCCGACCATGTTGGGAGTCCAGTGACGTAACCATTACGCCATTTGCTAGTCCCGTGTTTGTCTTTCTTGTGATATTCTTTTGTTTTCTTACTGTCAGAGGATATGTGCTTGCCAGAAAGAGAGCACCCTTGATGGGGCGTGGTCACACGAATCCCTTCTCCATTCCCTCAGGATTTGGGGCTGCACATGTGTGTGCCCAGTGTGGTTTTTAAGCCACCAGGGCAAGGACTTAAAACCACAGTCGGCCATGTGAGATCAGGTTTCCCATAACCACTAGCCTGAGACCGAACAGTCTGTCTTTTTAACCCTAACCATCCCAATGGGTGTGAAATGGTACCTCGCTGTGGTTTTAATTTGAGTTTCTCCAGTCACCAATGATGCTGAAGATCTCCTGTACTGACTGGCCATTTGTGTATCTTCTATGGAGAGATTTCTATTTAAGTCTGTTGCTCATTTCATTTTAGTGTTTCATTTTTCTTTTTGTTTTTAAGGTTTTTGCCATAGGTTGCACGCGCTCACTGGAGACAGAGAGAGTGAGTGAGAAATCATCCCTGTGGGTATGGCCATGCTGCAATCCCTTCTCCTCCATTTTCTTCTCAGGATTTTGGGCACACACA